AAAAAACGTTTCTGAAACTAATTCATGAATAAATTATGGGAACAAACAGTTCCTGAACATTCGTTCAGAACTTCGGTTAAATTGTTTGAACAAGTTTGGGTGATCATAAAACAGGAGCAGACACTTTGGCAGTTAAACTGACGAAGAGTTGAGCCTTGCCTTGGGTGATTTTTCTTTTCTTTTCTTTCTGGCTGTAACTAAGTTCTAAACAATACCTTCTGCTTTCTCCTATAATGAATTGGCAGAGCACCTGCCGAATTTGCTCAAAAAATACATATCAGGTGCAAACCAGGGAACCTGTGCAAACTTGAAAACTACGAATCAGATCCACAGGATGCCAATCCAATGGATGGGGTGAGAGGTGGAACTATTTTACGCTTAAACCCTCCCACATGCCAGCCAATTTTCCAAAAAAAAACCCTGGCCCCTCCTGCAAACCTTCCCTAGGGATTCCGCTGCACCGATCGTCCGTTCCCATCGCGACCGGTTTGTTTTCGCGTGACAGCTTTCCGTGAGCGAGCAGGGACTGCGCCGCCAGGAATTCATTGCCCGCGCCAGGGAATTCATCGGCCAAGGAATTCACAAGCCAGCGAAGTCCGTATCCGCCCGGCGCCGTGAGTCGCCAGCCACCGCCACGCATGTCGCCTGGTTCGCTTCGGCGCCCGCCCCTATTTCTTGAACTCGAGGCCCCTACCGCTGAACTCTAGGAGACGAGGAGGCCCTGCCGGTCTGCGTGCATCACGATCACCATCGCCATCGAACTCGAGGAGACGAGGAGGCCCTCGCGCCTACCGTGTGTGCTTGGCGACTTTTGCATGGCCCACCATCCATGCGGGTCCTCTGGCGGCTCCGCGTGTGAGTTCCTTATCGTGACCTCTTTTCGATCACCCAATTTTCTTTTCGTTTGATTGCAAGTTATGTCAATCGATTGCCGACGTGCCCGACGATGTGGAACGATGGCGACAGCCAATAGCAGCAAGAGCTGCAGCAGCCATGGACAGGGAACGACATCCTCTCTGAAGCCATCGCCGTTGATCCCACCGTCGCGGGACTTACAGGAACAAGTTTTGAGGCCACCGCCATGGATCATTTGAAGCCTGTGGTTAGAATGATGTTTGATACACTTACAGATGTGGAGAAATTTTACAAATCGTATGCACATGAAGCTGGTTTCTCTATTCATGTTGGTCAACACAAGAAGCAAAATGATGAAATATTATTCAAGCGGTATTATTGTTCAAGGGAAGGATACACAAAGGAGAACGTAAAAAATGTTATTGACGAATCTGGAAAAAAAAGAAAATCACATAATGTGATGGAAACCAGATATGGTTGTGGGGCACATATTGTTGTGAAGCTTGACAGTGACAAGAAGTATCGGATAGCTTCAATGGTTGAGGAGCACAGTCATGGTTTTGTGTCACCAGATAAGAGGCATTTGCTAAGATCCAACCGTAATGTTAGTGAGAGGGCAAAGAGTACTTTGTTCAGTTGTCATAAGGCTAGCATTGGCACCTCACAGGCATATAGACTTCTCCATGTCAGTGAGGGTGGGTTTCAGAATGTTGGGTGCACACTGAGGAATTTGCAAAACTATTATCGTGACCTCAGGAGCAAAATCAAGGATGCAAATGCACAAATGTTTGTGGCACAACTTAAGCGAAAGAAGGAAGTAAATCCTGCCTTCTTTTATGAATTTATGGTGGATGAACAAGGACGACTTGTTTGTGTGTTTTGGGCAGATGCCTTATGCAGGAAAAACTATAGTGTTTTTAGTGATGTGGTTTCTGTAGATTCAACATACACCATTAACCAGTATAACATGATTTTTGTACCATTTACTGGAGTCAATCATCACTTGCAAAGTGTTTTCCTAGGGGCAGCATTCTTGGCAAATGAAAAGATCGAGTCATATGAATGGTTGTTTAACACCTTTCTGAAGGCTATGCGTGGAGTAGCACCTCATCTAATCATAACAGATGAAGATGCGAGCATGAAGGCTGCTATTGCTCAGATTCTACCGGATACAACTCACAGACTTTGCATGTGGCATATTATGGAAAAGGTATCTGAGAAGGTCGGGCCCTCTATAAGAGAGGATGAACAGTTCTAGGATAGACTACACACATGTGTTTGGGGCTCCAAGACTTCAAATGATTTTGAGTCACAGTGGAATTCTATCATCACAGATTTTGTACTCATGGGAAATGATTGGTTTTCCACCACTCCTAAATTGATGACACCATGGGCCAAGGAGAAGCAATGTAGTGTGATATATACACATGAAGTTTTCAGTAAATTTCATAAACAAATTGTAGCTGCAAGAGACCATTGCATTATTCAAGGCATTACAGAGTGTGAAGATATAAAAATTGTCACCATCAGCGGTCTATCTAGAAAAGAGCGAGTGGTTCAGTTGAACAAGTCTGACATGTTTGGTAGGTGCTCCTGTAAATTATATGAGTCCTATGGCATCCCGTGTCGTCATATCATACAAGTGCTTAGAGCCGAGAAGCAAAATGAGGTACCATCAATTTATATTATGAAGAGATGGGAGAAAAGATATAAAAGGTTTGTATTGTATGATTTTTTTTTCTATGGCTATTTTGTACAATAGTCTTGATCAGATATTCAATTTTACAGCGAACTATTCTTTGATGAAGAAGGGAACCTGCTAGATGAAAAGCCTGGAGATCCTATGGAGGCGGCAATGCGGAAAAAGATTTCAGATTCACGGAACCAGTTTGAAGATCTTATCCAGATGGCCAAGAACTCTGAACAAGGGACTTTTTATTTTCTAGTTTATCCAACCTAGTAGAACCTCTCTAAAAGATCACGCCTGCTACGAGAGTTAATAAACATGATGAGTATGAACCTTTCTTTGGTAGTAAAACTCCAAATCAAGTCGATATACATCCACCAAATGATATCAAGTCGAAAGGAAGATGCAGAAGAATTAAGAAGAGCAAGGAGATGAAGGCTGCAAGCAAGGGTAAAAGTAAACGGACGTATGGAAATGTAAGCAAGTAGGGGATCATGATGCACGCACTTGCCCAAACAATGTTGTTGGCTGATATTTCAAGTTCGTATAACCTTTTAATACCTTTTGGAATGCTGCTTATAAACACTTATTGATCAGTGCATTTGCATAAGAACCTTTTCCAGTAGATGCGTTAGTTGTAGAAAAGATTGGATGCTAAGAATCTTTTCCAAATGCTTTCAGTGGAGTTCAAACAAATAATGAACTGAACCAACAGCAACATCTTCCCATGCGTGGAGAACAAAACATCAGAGATAAGATAGTTTGTGGCAAAGGCTTGTTCAATTGAACATATTCCATCACAGATGGCTTATGCAACACCAGGCACAAGCAGTGTGTGAAGTACAGGTACAAGTAGAAGTACATGACCAAAGAATACTAATTTATATACATCTATTTTGTGATCTTCTTTATGCCTTTTGAAATCCAAAAATAACACAAGACAGCAAATTGCTCTTGTTACATGCTTACAAACTGTCATCAGTTCATCACTTCTTTAGCACTTGTCAACCTCCTTGAACACTTTCAGGCATTTCTCAACCACATTGCTACTGAACTTCTGCATGGACAAGTGGAAGTATGATCTTCGTCTTATCAGCCTCCTTGAACACTTTTAGGCATTTCTCAACCACATTGCTACTGAACTTCTGCATGGACAAGTGACTACACATCTAACATTGAAAAAAGGGTAGACGGTGAATCCACAAGAATTCCAGTGCTTGCAAATTGCTCGAAAGCTAGGGACGTCGGAGTCCATGGCATATCATGGAGAGCAGTTCTGGTAACAATTCTGACCAGGGACGCTGTTATTCTTCCCTTCATCATGGCTCGCCATATCCTTGTTGCCTGCTTCTTTCACAACGAGTTTAGCAAGCCAGCATGGTGGAACATACAGTAAGTTATGACTCATTATAGGACATTAATCCTCAACTGATGCCACAGGCTAATTAGATTTTAGAATTATAAGTAGAGATTCTACATTATTAACACTACTCCGAGTAACAACAGAAGTAGAGAACAGAGGCTTTGTGAACTAAAACTACTGCATGGACAAGTTTTTGTACTAGATCGATATTATAAAAAAAAATCAAGTTTATGTAGGAGCAGCAGCAATATTGTAACTGGCCAGCATCAATCAGTAAAGGAAAGAAAAATCTGGCCACAATCTTCATCTAAGTGACTACACACCGAGCATATTGTATCAAGATTCACCTCTTTTGTTGGCAAATTTCATCTGACCAGGAGGCCGCCGAGGGTGGAGGCGGGTAGGAGGCCGGCGACGGCAGGGGTCGACGGTGGGGCAGCCAGAAAGCTGGTGGGGGCGACGGGAACCAGGCCGGCGAGGGCAGGGGCGACGGGGACCTGGCGGCGCTCGCTCGCGGAACGGCCTGGTCGCGGAAACAAACCGCCTGGCGGCGCTCGCTCGCGGAACATCGCCTGGCACACGGGGCTGGAGAGGGGCTAGGGTTTTTTTTTTGGAAAACTGGCTGGCAGGTGGGAGAGTTTAAGCGCAAAATAGTTCCATCTCTCATCCCATCTATTGGATTGGCATCCTATGGATCTGATTTGTAGTTTTCATTTGCATAGATGCCCTGGTTTGCACCTGATATGTTGCCAAAAAATGAATGCCAAACAATGAGCTAAGATAACATCGTGCTTCGCCTAACGCATTTCGGCATCAAGATCCCTGAACCCGCCACCAATTACACAACAGATTGGGACAAAGGTTTTTTTTTCCCCGCACAAGTCTGAAGTTACAATTACAATAACATGAAAGCAGAACACGAAAACCATGGACGAATTAAGGCACAATGCAATGCAGCAACACCAATCCTAACTCATCCTCTTTGGATTTTATTAAGAATCACACCACACTCGCCGAGTAGTATCTAGTACTAGTAATCATCCCATATAGATTTGGAGTAGAAAACTTATTAAACCACCACATTGGTTATCATGTTCATGCTCTGGACATCTCCTGCTGCTGCTGGTGGAGGTTGCCCTGGTACTTTGGGTCCCTGCGGACGACGCGCTTCCAGTACCAGTGCTTGTCGAAGAGCATCCAGATCTCCTCGATGGGCACCTGCTTGGTCTCCGGCAGCAGGAGGATGACGAAGATGGACATGACGACGATGAGCGAGGCGAAGAGCACGAAGACGCCCCACCGGAGGTGGCACAGCGCGGCCAGGAAGCACTGCGCCACGGCGGCCGTCCAGAAGAGGTTGACGCACACCACCACGCTCTGCCCCGCCGACCGCATCTCCAGCGGGAACAGCTCGCTGGGCACCAGCCATCCCAGCGGGCCCCAGGACCAGCCGTAGGCCACCACGAAGAGGCAGATGGCCACCACCAGCACCGTGCTCACGCCCTTGCTCAGCTCCTCGCCTTTCCCGAACTTGAGCGCAAGGATCACAGCAACGACGACCATGGAGGAGATCATCTGGATGCCCGCCTCGATGAAGAGGAACCGGCGGCCGAGACGGTCGACGCTGACCATGGAGATGAGCGCGCCAACGACGAGCATGGAGCCGGTGATGATGGAGGAGTAGAGCGCCGCGGAGGATCCAAACCCAAGGCTCTGGAAGATGACGGGCGAGTAGAAGAGGATGGAGTTCATCCCCGACAGCTGCTGGAACGCCGGGATGCCGAGCGCGCCGATGATGAGCTGCGGCCTGTTGCGCACGGCGAGCAGGTTCCGGAACGTGCCCGTGACGGCGCGCGCGGCGTCGCTGGCCTCCTTGAGGTCCTCGAACTCGGCGTCCACCTTGTGCGTGCCGCGCACCTTCTCCAGCACGCGGCGCGCCTCCTCCAGGTGTCCGCGCTCCACGAGGCTGTTGGGCGTCTCGGGCAGGAAGAGCGCGCCTACGAAGATGGCGGTGGCGGGGCCCATGGCGAGCCCCAGCGAGAGGCGCCACCCCCACGGGTGCAGCCGGTCCGTGAAGTAGTTGATGATGTCGGCGACGAGGATGCCCAGGCAGGTGGTGAGCTGGAACAGCTGGTTGACGGCGCCCCGGATGCGGTAGGGGGCGATCTCCGAGAGGTAGAGCGGCACGGCCTGGTTGCCGAAGCCGATGCCGACGCCCAGGAGCACGCGACCGACGATGAGCATGGCGATGTTCATGGCAGCCGCGTTGATGGCGCCGCCCAGGAAGAAGCTGGTGGCGCCCACCATGATGCTGGCGCGCCGGCCCCGGCGCTTGGTCACATAGGAGGCGCCGAAGGTGGAGACGAGGCCCGCGAAGTAGAGCGAGGAGGTGAAGAGCGTCAGCAGCTGGTTGTCGTACTTGCAGTAGTCCGTCTCGTGCAGGTGCGCCTGCTTCCGATGGTACACGTCCGGGAAGAACTTCTTCAGGAAGTCGTCCATGGAAGTCACGCCGCCTGCAATGCAACGGTTGGATCGTCAGGAACACCAGGAGCAAGCGGCATCTTTTTTTAAAAAAATCTTTTTTCTAGTGCTTTTCTGCTTTGAAATGTATTTCGCGTAATCAGACATGTTTTTCGGTATGGTTTCATTTCATCATGGTTACAAATAAAACGCTTCATTTCACAATGGTTAACAATAAAAGGCTATTTTTTAGTGATGTCACTTGCAGAAATGCGGTACCCCACGAAACAGAGTATATATCCGTACTGAAAATGAGAGTACAGGGATGAGACCAAACAAATTTGGTAATGGTTGTCAACAACCATCAACCATTTTGACATAATAGCAGGGTTGAGTTGTAAAGCACTTTTCCTTCCTCCTGGATGATACGAGACGGAGACATAACTTTCCGATTCCTGTGATTCTCTGGCCTATCCAATCGATTCATTCTCAGTGCAAAGCATTCAACCATGCTGGAGACCATCCATAAAATTCGGATCAGAATATATTGGCCACCAGCTTTTCTAAATATCATATTTCGAAATCTTGTAAATAAATTGTTGGGTTATTCATGAGCAATCATATGTCGAACCTTTCGCAAACCCGGAAAAGAAGAAGAGATAAAAATATGAGCAGACAATCATCAAACGCGGACAAGAATTGCATTTCGACGACCAGATCATTCTCAGGAGACAGGAATTGCATTTTTCAACTAAAACCAACTACGAAGAGGAACAGGGTACGTACGAAAAATCCCACGAAGAAAGAGCAGTGGGGGGAGAAGAGAAATATATACTGACTGGAGACTCCGAGGTCATAGCCGAAGAGGGATCCACCGAAGGAGCCGACGATGCAGGCGAGGATGAAGTAGCCGGTGATCTTGCCCTCGTAGAACTCGGCCCTCCCGGCGGCCGCCTCGCCGCCGCCAAACCCGCCGGCCATCCCGCTGTCAGACCCTTCTCCTCCTCTCTCCTCCTGACCGGAGAGAAGCAGGAAGGTCCTCGCTTCTCTTCAGACGACGCGCACTATACGTACTCAGCCTCTGTTCCCTGAAACGAACAAATAGGTAAGGGAGGAAGGAGATGAAATGGACGACAACGACGGCGGAGAAGGAGAGGGCAAATCAAATCAGCGAGGAGAGGAGGGGAGAGCACACACAAGTCAACAGCGGCGAGTCAAGAAACTGACAAGGGAAGGGAGGCCAAGACAAATCGACATCTCTATCGCTGAACACAAGAACTCTACCTCCTCTGTTTCTTTGACCAGCTCGTCTCTGGATGGACCAGCTCAGGAACGCGTGCTGTGCCTAGTAAACTATTCAACGCCAGGCCAGGTAACTGAAGATTAGGTAGTAAATAAATAAACAGAGATCGACCGGCGGATTGGTTCCGCTGCTCGGGACCAAGAAGCCAGCCAGCGGCCCAGCGCCGATCCACAGGCTGTTCGTTTCGTCGTGGACTGTGATCGTAAATTTTTTAACGAGAACAATATTTTTCTCTCACACAAACCAGCCTACGATACTTTTGATCAATCTGCCGCCGCCGCGCCCGTGCTGATCTGGTTGGGCGACGAACCAACGGGCAGCTCGCAGACGAATCGGGGAGGGTGCCCGGAGGTCGTTGGGATGGGTGGGTTTTTATCTCTGCGGCCGCGCGGAGCTAGGCGCACCGCAGCTCAACGTCCCAACCCCCCGGGTCTCCACTGCTTGCTGAGTGTGCTGGCTGGGGATACCAGGATATGGACGAGTGGTTTCTCGCGTCCCGGTCCCACTGCCGACGGGCGTGGCGGTGCCACTGCAACTGCATGCAGAACAAGTCCTTATCCGGTGGGACCTGTCAGAGTTTCACGCTTCTGCAAAATCTGGGACAGGGACGACTCCGCTGAATGCAAGACTTTGGCTTTGCTTACATCGCAGAACACTTTTTATCTATCACTTAAATCATCACGGTGGGAAATGTCTAATTATATAGTTTAATTGTAAATTACTTCTTCTTTTGGCTGGGACATGACGACTAATTAACAAATGAAAAAAAAATGCTATAGTGTCGTATACTAATTTCTAAGGGCCTTGGTACAGTGAGCACGATAGATCCTGATACTCTCCGTTGAATGGAAGACTTGCTACAGCCTCCGATTCAAGTGGTCCGACACTAATGTGTTCACTGCGATGTACTGCCTCACCGCAAAAGAATATAATTCTCGTATTTTGAAGAGACAAGCAGTTTAAATTTTGATGAAAATTATATAGTAATATACTTATACTCATGAAACTAAATAAGTACTATCAGATTAGTTATAAAATATATTTTTATAATAAATTTAGTTGAAGATATAAATACTAATATTATTATTTACTATAATTTTGATCAAAGTTAAACTACTTTGACCGATATATTTTCTATAATTGTATTTTTTTAGACAGAGGGAGTACGTGCTACCACGCAGTTTAGTCACCGAACTAGAATTTTCAGCTCAAAATATACATAGGGATATTATAGATATCTGGCATTGAATTTTTAAATCGAGCTGGAGAGTGGAGACCTTTGTTTTGTTCCCTGTGACGTGGATTTCTGCCATGTTCCTTTGATCGTGTTTGCTTTAAAAGTTGTATTTTTCAGTCCGCGAATAGTATTTTTCTCTCACATCAAATCAGCCAATAATATTTTTAGTCATAACTTATCAGCCAAACAAACCCAAACGAACAGGACGTCCTGTAAGTACGCTGCCAAAATACAGCTGGCCCACTAGCTAGTTTGCTTACCAGGCTCCATATCACTTGTGTATTGTGCATGTACAGCTTGTTAGATGTTCGGATCCAGGGACTAATGTTTAGTATATGTCATATTGGATATGTGGATACTAATTAGAAAGATTAAACATAAGCCTAATTAGCCTTAATAGGTTCGTTTTGTAAATTAGTTTCAAATTGTGCAATTAGTTTTGTAATTAGTCTACGTTTAATATTTCAAATTAGTGTCAAACATCCGATGTGACAAAAACTAAATTTTAGTTGGGTAACCTTGTCACACTAGTTCAACCAATGCTTGCTTCATTTCCTACGATTTCTTTCATATTCTCTTCATTTCAAATTGTCGCTCAAGCCGTTCTAGCTTTTGCAATACTATTTATCAAATACATAGTAAAAGTTATATATCTAAAATAACCTAAACAACTTATAATCTAAAACGAAGAGAGAATCTACGTACACATTATTCATATCATGGATGTCACATAAAACTTATATTAACACTATTTTCTAGGTCGACTACGTTGTTTTTGGGCCCATATTTTCAATGTCTATGAAGATTTATCTTACACATCAGGACCATGAAGATTTATATGCATGAATGTGTCTCCCGAGCTAACGGATAAACAATATTTTACTCCCATTGGTAAAGCTAAGGTCTTGTTACTTTCTCCTCTAAAGTTTACTCCTTGTCATATTGGATATTTGGACACATACATAAGTATTAAATATAAATTAAAAATAACTAATTGCACAGATTGCGACTAATTTATGAGATAAATTTTTAAGCCTAATTAGTCCATGATTTGACAATGTGGTGCTATAGTAAACATGTGCTAAGATAGATTAATTAGGCTTAATAAATTCGTCTCGCGGATTACTGAGGACTTCTATAATTTGTTTTATTATTACTATCCGATCACTCCCATATAACACTCCGATGTGACATCCCTAAACTTTACTTTCTGAATTTAAACACCACCTAAGTGACCATTTCAAGGTGTCTAAAGCAAACACTTCTAAATTTTCACTGCATGCTACTTTTTTATGTATAAACTTCGAATGTTTCGAATTCATTCAAGTAGATTATTTGTCTTGAATTCGCCATAAATGGTATTTGTCTTGAAATTTGTTTCATGAAAGTATACCATTACTACATTTTAAAGATATATTCAACGAAATAATGGTGGCAGTCAAAATTAAGAACACTTGACATCAGACTCATTTATTTGTGCCTTGGGAGAGTATCTTCTCATGATTTGACAGTGATATCATCTTAAAAAGGGGTGCATTTAACATTTTTTTATTATTAGCGTGATCCATTTTATAATCCCTCTCACGTTCACCTATCTCACAAAATGGTAAGTCAATTTTCATTTGTCACCCACCATTACCAGTGGTGACCGGTCAAATATCCCTCTTATCTTGTTCTATGGTAAGGCCCGTACAGAAACAAATGCTCATCTTCATGCATCCACACCCACCCTAACGAAGGCACATACTTACCTTTACGAATGTACCTACGCACATGGCACATCCTGTCTTTATTTACACCTGAGACCTACGTCACTGTAGAAATGGTGCAGTTCCTAAAATTTTGTGTTTTTTAAGATTCCCTTCATTTTGGACCTTTGCATGAAGCATTAAATATAGACCGAAAATGACATCACTGTAGAAAATTGAGTCCATCTTAAACTTGACCTGAAATGCAATTATCAGACAGTCTAGTTCTGACGGTTTAAAGCATTAGATTGTCCCGTGCATACAATCAGCACGGGTCCATCTATTTTGACTTGGAACAAGGAGCAAGGGATCATATAGGCAGGCAGCGTGTGCTTAGGGTAATCTCAATGGGGTTTCAAAAGAGTTTCATTCTCATTTAATGCCGTGACATATCAGCAAATTCATTGAGTTGGCAGGTAATTATGAAGAGAGATAGAGAGAGTTTCATAGAGTTTCACGTAGATGAAACCTATTGACACAGTTAACAACACAAAAGCTGATGTGATAGTCTTGATAACTGTGTCATAAAACTTTTTATTGAGACTGGCCTTTGCATCACTGTAGAAATTGAGTCCTATCTTAAACATGACCTGGAATGCATATACCGGACAGTCTAGTTTAGACGGTTTAAAGCATTAGATTGTCTGGTGAATACAATCAGCATGGGTCCATCTATTTTGACTTGGAACAAGGAGCAAGGGATCATATAGGCAAGCAACGTGTGCTTAAGCCAGTCTTAATGGAGGTTTCAAATAAGTTTTATTCTCATTTAATACTGTGACACATCAACAAATTCGTTGAGTTGGCAGGTAATTATGAAGAGAGCTAGAGAGAGTTTCATAAAATTTCACGTAGATGAAACCATTGATACAGTTAACAACACAAAAGCTAATGTGACGGTCTTGACAACTGTGCCATGAAACTTTTTATTGAGACTGACCATTGCATCAGTTAGGATAAAATCAAACCCACTAGCATGATACTCGCATGTTCGACCGGGAATCCATCGAACCTCTACTTACAACTCTCCTTCACCCAAAAAGATATTATTGGCATTGTCGCCGATTGGGCCATTACAATTCGGGACCCCTTTCGGTATAGGGGCCTGTTCACGAAATAAACTTGCCAAGTAATTTCATTGGGGCGTATTCAAGACAACTGCAATACCGAGGACCGTACCTTGCACACCTGCAGGACAGTACTATTAGACCATGTCAGAAGGGTGAACTACAACCTTCCGGACATGTCAGAACCCAAACAGTGTTGAGGGCGTCGACATTTGCCCTACAGTGTTGTGGGCTCCATCAATTCCCATACTGGGCAAGCGCGGTAAGGCCCCCCACATGCATCTGGGCATCCACAGTGTTGTGGGCGCGGGCATTTACCATACCTGGTGGAACACGGAAAAACCTCTCACATGCGTCTAACATCAATAGTATTGTGGGCGTCTACAATCATCTTGTACCCGACGGCGTGGGCAGCAAGACTTAGTAGCATACGTACACACTCTCTCTCTCTCTTGCAAAGTCGTCTCGTTCATCTATAAAAGGGGATGCGCTCTTTCCAAAAGGAAGAGGATTGATTCGAACAACAACAGACGATCAATTCCAATTCTGTCTGCTAGCTTCAGACACTCTAAAGCTACACAAAGCTCACGTTTGAACACTTAGCGCACGTCGGAGTTCCCATCACT